TTTATAAAGTTAACATGGCAGGGAAACTTAATACTCAAATACTAATGGATTTATTATTTTGTCTATGTTTTAAAGCCATGATTTATTATTTTTTGTCTGTGTTTTTGAAACTGATTCTCGGTAACACAATTGCTTTCCAGCTATCTGAGGGGAATGTTTACATCCTATAAGCTAACCACTGGGGATCAGTTTATTGGCAGAATTTCTGTAAACGTGTGAGTGTTCTTTAGGGGGAAGTGGGGCTCTTTGCCTCTCATGGTGGAAGCCAGGTTCTCTGATGGAGTGAACGTAAGGAAGGATAGGTTGAGTGCTTACCTCTATGTTGATCCCTTGATGGTGCTTTCACGCCTGAGACAGACGGGAGGATGAGCTGCACAACTTTGCAAAGATACCCAACGGACTGGCAAGCTGTAAGGGCTCAATAGGTATTTGGTGAATGAAGGAACAAATGAGTCCCTTTGCAGCCTGTCTCTCAGATGATACTGTAAAGTCCGCGTGGGTGCAAATCAGTGTTTCTCAGAGTGCATCACGATGGGAGGATAAGAAGGTGGTGCTTATAATGAAAATTACTCAGGGCCCATCCAGACCTACTGACTCAGAATATCCCAGGAATCTGCATTTGAACTCCCCTGACCCCAAAAAAGGTGATTCTCCTGTATAGTAAACTTAGAGGACTACAGCGTGCATGCTGGCTGTTCTAGCTGAAGTTTCCACAGAGGGATGGGACCTTCGGAGGCAGCTGAATTCCAGCTGGAGCAAAATTTGGGGTGACCATCCTTGAGAGGGCAGCCCTAGCAAACTTGCTTATCTCTGACGACACCTACTGGTGGAGAATAATAATGAGCAAATGCTCAACCCCTCAACCTACAAAGGTGTTTTTTCTTATGGAGCCTACGGTATTGAGGGTGTTGCATTTTAGTGTGAATTCTAACAGTGATGATTTCTATACCTAACGCCCCAGGAATCTGGGGGACACCTGCTTTGATATCTGTATTCTCTTTTCACTTGCTGCAGGTAGAATCAATACATACTTGAAGAATATTGTCCTTCGGTTATCTTACATGTTTCTTAGAATGCATGGTCCTATTTCACACTCAGTTTGCAACATTACCAACTTTTAGATGACCTCTGAAAGGGGTGAATCTGTCTGTTATTTGAAGGGAGCATACCTTGTCTCCCCCGTTGATAGTGGGAGTGGGGTTCTGGGGGTGCCGCTGGAATAAGCATTTCTGGAGGTCCCCACAGGAGGATGAGATATAGTAGAAAGCTTTATTTTTGTGGAATTACCCCTCTGGGTTTCCAAAGTCCCATTTCCCTTAGTCCAGTCATAGAAGAAGTGTAGCTGGGGCTTCAGTAGAGCTAAAATCAGGGCCATGTCCAGAGTTTCCTTTCCATTTTGTAGCTGGGTCCAGTTCAGCATCATGCTAGCTGCAATCCATTAGTCTATTGCATGTTGGATCCACATGACCGTGGGCCATATGGACAAATGCAAGAGAACCAAGAGAGAGCCAAACATCCCAGGTGTGATTGACAGGCAAATAGCTTCCCTATGTCACCCCAACTTTACTGGCTGTGCATCTGTTTTCCCTACTGGCTCCCCCCCCCCCACAGTGTTTTGCAGAGAATATGCATGTAATGTCTGGCCTTCCCTTTGCTCCCTTCCTGTTATTAATAACTAGTTAATTACAATAGTATCATCCCCATTCCCTTCTGCTTGGTCTTTAGCCACACTCTGCATGTCCTTGCACGTTTGGCATGGTCTAGTGGGAAAAGCATGGGATTTGGAGCAATTGGTTCCTTTTGATGGGCTTGTATTTGAATCTTGTCTCCCACCCTCTCCCATTATGTTGGAAGTCACTTAACTTTTCCTCTTTCTTTGCCTGGCAAAAGGAGCTAATAATACCATCTCTTGAGGACTAAGTGAAAAAAATATGTTAAAATGCCTGACACCAGTGCCCGATACAGACAAGTCCTTCATGAATGTTAGGTCCTTTCCCTTCTTCTATTTTCCTTCCATTGATAGGAGAGTGAGTCATCAAAACCCCAGGAAGCACGCAGCCTTCAGACTGCAGCAGCGTTAAGTGGTCATTAGTGCATGCTGTTCTGGACTGTTCTGTGGGGTGTACCTCTTAAGCAGGCTAATTCCGTACGCTATCTTTTCTTAGCTTACAGATTTTTCTGTCCAATCGCTCTTTAAGATTTTGAGCTCTATCAAGTATGGTGTCTGATGGTCATTAACAAACCACCCACCTTCCTTCCCCACTTGCTGTTCTGAGAGGAATCCAGTTCTGTTAATATTTGCTCATCACTGGACATGGCCCACATCCCTGGATCCCAAAGCCAGATGCCCCTGAGCTGTGGGCAGGGCTGCCCCATCTGCACAGATAAACAACTTGTGCCTGACTGGCCTGGCCCCAACTCAGGCAAGGTTCTCTTAGCCACTGATGCCAAATGCTGAATTTCTTATCTATAATAATAAAAAGGTAATATGCTAATTAGACCAGACATCCTTCCATTGGAAGCCCGGGTCCCGGTTGCTGAAGGGAAACCAGTGCTGGCAGCAGGAGGAAGGAAGTTCTACTCTTGCTCGAATTTTTGTGCATTGGGCCTCTAGTTGGCAGATATTAAACTAAAAGACCATAGTATCTTGCTCATCAGTCAACAGTCTAAAGGGCATTACTCTGAAAAGCTTGGTTCAAAGTTAATCTTTGACTTAAAGGAAACACAGAATATGTGTGATGGGACAGTCCCCACTCATCCCCTCTTAGTACCTGGAAATGCCGAGATGCTGGCAAACTGCGACTGAACAAAGTTTGGCAGTGAGCATGACAATAAAAACAGAGCCACGTAACAAAAGATTGAAAAGCCACACACAAAAAAGCTGAAAAACTGTAGTGTTGGCACAGAGACATGTGATGGGAAGCATGCTGGTTTGCACAGCTTCGGTACTTCCGAGTAGCACTAGCATAAGTGCCTGTCTAAGGGGGTGGCTGCAAGACAAAGCTGGCAGCTGATATGGGCAGATAACAATGATGCTGAAACATTACCCTGCTTTCCTTGTACTTTTACTTTTAAAGGATGTTCAAAATCATTTCTTAATGTTTAATAAGCTCAAAGGGCAGGAAAGAAGTGGTACCTTCATTGTCATTGTACAAAGGGGGTATTTTTCAGGAAATACACAAGTCGGGAGGAAAAGCCTTGGGACCATGTCCCATGCTGGGATTTAGAAGGTTTGAACATCCTCTATTCCAGGAAGCTTCTTGTTTGCTCTGGATCTCCTAACTTGCAGGGACAGCCAACTGCTAATTCGTGGAAATGAATTCAGCCACTCCTCCCTTCTAGCCAGTTCAGAAGTGCTCTGAGGAGCAGAATGTTTCCCCACTGTCTGCCCGGAGGGGGGGGGGGGGGGGTGGTGCCTGTGCCGTCCCACAGCCCTTCAGTCTTTTCATCACAGGTCTCTTTCGTCTGCCATTATTCAGGACAAACGCCGCCATCTCCAGAGCCCTTCCCATCCAGGATTCCCTGATTGGGGTGGAATGCACCCGTTGCCTAGAGCACCCTGACGTTCTGGTGAGAAGAAAGGGGAGAGACTAAATGCCCCATTTTACCTCTTGTTAGATTCCTAGGAAGAGGGAGGACGTTAAAGAACTTGATTAAATAAAAGTCCTGGTCATCTGTGACTTTTATTGCTTATGAAACGTTGGCCTCCTATTGAGAATCAAAAATTAAAATGATCACATTTTTTATTTTTGCTGGAGACATGTGCATGGTGAGGTCTGAGGGGGGTGTTAGAAACACTCTTTCCTTTCCCTGGGAAAAACATATCCCTTTTCATCTCTTTCTTTTCTTCCAAAGTAAGGACGCCTGCAGAGTGCCGGAAGGCTGTGCTGGTTATAGTCGGGGTAGTGCTTGTTTGGTGAGGGTGGCCTAGGAGATCCAGCAGCTGGTGTGTTGATCCTGCTGAGCACAGAACTGCAAGAGCCCATTCAGAAAAACACAGACACATGCCTGATTTTGGCAAATAAAAGGGGGTCAGCCACTGTTGAATAGACTGACAAATATCTCAAGTTCCAAAGGTTTAACCACATCATATCTTTTTAAAAAGCAGATGTTTAAGCCTTTTAGAAATAATTTGACTTGAGCTTATTTTTCATCCCAAAACAATACCTGGCGATGGCTCCTCTGGCTTTCAGAGAGGTGGTCTGGGAAATAAAATGCACTAGTATTTTGTGAATCAGGGGTGTGAGGATGGTGTACATTGCTCCGCTTACTGACGCTTACGTAAGAGTGAAGGCCACTGAACTGTGGGCTTTATGTGCTTTCTCTCTTTCAGTCTTTATAAGAATCGTGAGACATAGGATTGTTGCTCCCATTTAGAGAGGAGAACGCAATGACTCGGAGAACTCAGGAAACTATTAGAGGGCAGAGGGCCTCTAGCAAGTTATTTAGGGAAGGGTTTGACCCGCAGTCATTAACAAAGCTCTGGAGTCCAGTGCTTCACGTAATAGCCCATGTTCAGAGACGAGAGCAACAACACCCGTAACTGAGTCTTGCATTAGGTTCACAATACTCCAGGAATCTCTTTATTTCCTTGGCACACGGGTGCTCTGTCACTGTTTTCTGTTGGGGTCCAGCCCCAGCAGGTCCAGGGGTTCCCAAGGTGTGGGCAGAGTCGGCAAAGAAGGAATGACACGAAGGCAGCGTTCAGTTGATCAGCATAGCGAGGTCCTTCCTTTCTTCTCCTGTTACATCTGTATTTATACCATTTTTTAAAAAATATATTTTATTGATTTCTTACAGAGAGGGAGGGAGAGGGATAGAGAGTTAGAAACGTCCATGAGAGAGAAACATGGATCAGCTGCCTCCTGCACACCCCCTACTGGGGATGTGCCCGCAACCAAGGTACATGCCCTTGACCGGAATCGAACCTAGGACCTTTCAGTCCGCAGGCCAACGCTCTATCCACTGAGCCAAGCTGGCTAGGGCCGTCACCAATTATCTTATGTAGGAGAGCGAGATCTGCTATGACGGGGAGAATAGCGTGGTGATCCTCTGCTTCTCCTTGGGGAGTAACTGCGACCCCTGCTGTTGCTTCGGCTAAGGCTTCTGCTACGACTACGGCTTCGAGATCGAGATCTTCCATAACCTGGACTTCTGGGCCCATCAGCTTTAACCCGGATGTAGGCAGTTTCTCCCTCATGAGATCTAAACTTAGTGTTATCCAGTTTTCGAACTGCATAGGTCATATCTTCTTTCCGTACAAACTCCACGACACCAGTGCCATCTCGGTAAACGTCAGCATAACATACATCACCTGCTTCACGCATGTGATCCTTCAAATCCTGCCAGCTTCCACTCGGAGGCAGTCCAGAGACAGCCACTCTGTTCTCAGGTCGCCTGGATGGGGGGCCATAGCGGCCTCGGAGTGCTCCGCCACCTCCACCCCCGCGGCCGCTTCGAGGAAACTCGACCCGCAGACGGTATCCGTCGTAATCGTAGCCGTGGCGACCATTCACCGCGTCTTCCGCGTCTCGCGGGTCCTCGAACTCAACGAAGGCGAAGGGTGGTCCTCCGCGGTGATTCTTGAGATCGATGTCGCGGATGGCCCCGTATTTGTAGAACACGTCCTCAATGTCCTTGGTTCGAATGTCTGGAGGTAAGTTACCCACGTAGATGTGACAATCGTTGTTCCCTGCCCGGCCACGAATCACACCACCTCCGGACATGGTGATGAGGAAAAGGGCGGACTCGAGAACAGGCCTTCCCACCAAGCCTAGCACAAGGGAGAGCGAACCTGCAGCGACACCTCGCTCCACGGGTCCCTCCAAAATGGAAATAGAAAGTACACTCTGTATTTATACCATTTGATTTTAATCCTATCCATTCTATTCCAAAGGTTAGGGCGTTTGTTATCTCCAGTCCAAGGTCACTACTCTATTGTTCTGTTAAGTTACAAGGAAGTAACTGAAGGCGATTATCCTGAGTAAAGATTATGTAGCTTAAGCGTGATTGTTCGCAGTTAAAGTGATTAACTACCCGCCTGGCACTTAGTTAAGGGGTTTTACTGATTCCCTTCCTTAGTCCCGTTAATCCCTAACTCCAGGGGAAAATCCCCACGTGGGGAAACAACCTTTCCCAGAGAGGTGACCTTGGTTAAAACACATAGCGCTAAGAAGGGGAGAAGACATATTAAGAACAGTATGCCATATACCCCAGGTCCCTTGAAACATATGCTGTGCAGATGTTTCTTCCCTGCAGCGACTGTGTCAAGCAGCAAGGATGGACCGGCTTCCGGCAAATTCCCCCCTTTTTATTTTTTAAGTGATAGTGCATGTAAATCAGCGGCCACATCTTGGATTGGGTTGTTTAAGACTCGGAAGACCTGTTTGTGACTTTGCCAACAGGTCAGTCGAGGCTTAACCCTATATGGGCTCCCCACAGGTTTCCAGCCTCGTGTACGGCCTACTAGTAAGTCTTTAGGAACTAGCAGTCAATGGTGTTGTGCACGCTGACATCTTCATTATGTGACAGCTGTTGGGTTGGACTCTCCTATCTGAGTTACAACAATAAGGAAGCCCACCAGTGCCTGGCTTCACTCAAAATCAGAGTCAAATCTAGAAACGTAGGTGCTCAAGCTAAGTAGTGTGACATCTACCCTCAGATCAACAGGGTGGGGGCTGGCCCTAGTGTACACAAAGGGGCCTCATGCTGGAAACTCCCACCCTTGCCCTGGGGTCCCCTGCTCCACCTTCTCTATCAGCTGCCCTGAGACAGACCCCAGGCCTGGGCAATCCTGCCTCTGACCTGGAAAGGTAATGCAGCCATTGTCTAAGAGGGTAAAATTGGCATAAAATCACACCCTCAAAGTTATAGTTCCTTGGGGGCAAAGCCTGGTCTCAGAGTCCTATCTGTGGTCTGCACAAAGGTCAATGTTTTTTTCTTCCCAATTCTCAGAGTGGCATCACCAACATAAATGAAAAAGAGATATTAATGTATTTGGCCTGATACAAAGTAAAAGTGTGTGGGTAGGGTATCCAAGTCCTCCAATTCGAATTCCAGAGCCTTCCAGAGGTCGTCCTTCTCCCCAGTCATTTCCCAGCCCTCAGCAAGAAACAGAGCTAGAGTTATCTCCAGCCCAGTGTAGGACATAGGACATAGCAGATCCTTGACAAAAGTTTTGTTACTGAATGGACAAAGGAAAAGTAGGAGGGAGGAAAGAAAAGAAAAAGAGGGAGGGAGACCTAGAAATTCGGTTGCAAAATCTACCCCAATTGTGAGGAGACAGCTAGCTCTTTGGAAAGTTATTTGGCAATGTGCTTAAAAATCCAAAGAATGTGCACATCCGTTAAACCAGCAATTCTGTATTTAGAAATTAAGGATGTGTGAAAAAGTTCTGCTGTAAATCAGAGTATTGTTCTAATTGTAAAATATTGCAGTCAACATGACTGTCCAACAATAGGGAATAAGGTCAATAAATTATGGTACATCAACACCCGTGCTTCCCCTGGCCTTCCCCATGTCATAAATCGCACCACCGTTGGACCAGTTGCTCAAGCTAGAGATGTAGTGTCCTTTAAATAGTTCCCTCCCTCCCTTTCCACCTATCATCCCAAGTCCTATCATTTTCCAAAATATAAAGGGAGTCATCTTATAGATGTGTTAACTTAAACAGACAATAGATGGCATCGAGTCTAAAAGCCAATGTATAAAGAAGAATGGGATATTTTCAAGAGTTTTACTCACCGCTGATACAGAAGAAATGCATCATTTAAGTAGCCCGGTAAGTGGGTGAAGTTAATTTAACTGAAAGCCATAGAGAAAGGAAGAATTAGAAAACAATGATGTAGGGTTGTACACACAAGACATGTATATAGCAGTATACTTTATGGATGATGTAAGAGATCTTTCTAAATTAATTTAACTAAATGTAGTCAGTACCACCTTAATAACTTCAGCATCAGGGTCCTTACTCTTGCCCTTCTCCCTCTGGACCCTTTACAAAGGGCAAGGAGTCCCTGGGGCTAAGGGGCTGTGCCTACCCAAGGTCCACCTCCTTTCTCCAAGACCACACTGCAGAATCCCAGGACCCTGGAACTCCCTTCTCAAATAAGGTCTGCACAGGGCTTTTCTCCAGGCACTTTCTCCTTAGGGTGGATCCTGGCTGTGGCGCGTGTTGTGGCCTGGGGCTTGAACCAGTGGGCTGAAGTGTCCACAGGTGAGCGTGAGAGAGAACTCCAGCTTACCGTGTGGGTTGGAGCAAAAGATGGGAGAGGATGAAAGCAGGATCTTCCATTCATCTTCTTGCTTCAGACCCACAAATGTTAGCAGCCATCCTGGATGCAATGTTTACTGCCAATTCTCTGAACTAGTCAACTCCCTCCCTCCATCCTATCTCATATCCAACTATAATTACCGCTGCACTACTCCAACCCCCCCCCCATCATCTCTCATCTGAATTGTTGCTGTACTTCCCTATCTAGTCTCCCATCTTACACCCTTGCCTTCCAATCCCTTCTCCTGCACAGAACAGGCAGAGTGAGCTCTCTAAAATATAAATCAGATCATGCGACGGCCACAGACTGAAAATGCCATGCACACTACTTGCCATGGCATAGAAGCCCTCCAGCTTCATCTGCCTCAGCCTAAGTGTGAGCCTCTCTGACCATCTTTCAGTTTCTAGGAATGTTTCCACCTCAGGGCCTTCACACATGCTGCTCCTTCTTCCTAGAATGTTCTCCCGTGTTCACATGCCAGATTCTTCATCCTTCAGGTCCAAACTTTCTCTTTTCTCTCAGACAGACCTTCTGCAACCACCTTGTACACCCTATTACCTTCTGGCTAGTATCCTGTTCTTTTCCTTCATGGCATTTCATTACAAAATAGGCTTCTCTCTTTACTTGTCCCATTTATTTGCTTAATTCCCCATCAAATTGTAAGCACTGTGTTTAATAATGTATATACTAGAACTTAATACTTCATAGTATGTGTGCAATTAATATAACTATATAAGGGGATGCCACTTAGTCAATAAAAACAATGTTTTCTATGGGTATTACTGGCACAGAAAACTTGCACATGACAATTTTAAATAAAAAGAAAGGTTACATAGTGATATAATCCCATTTTTGTTTTAAAAATTGTGAATACATACTACATATATGTTTACAAATCTATTACACATAGTATATGTGTGTGTTTAAAAAAAGCTGGGTTGGGAAATTGTTAATGTGGTTTATTTTATCAATTTTGCTTTTCTTTGAAAATACGAACCTTGTATTATCTTTGTAATAAGCACATATTTTAATGTTTATAACTCAATAAATGCACCCATATCTACCTGTACAGAACCATCACAGTGAATAACACGTTACTGGGCAGACATCTAGATGTCCTGTAGGATCGGCATGTTGAGCCAGGCTGTGGCACATCCTTCAATAAAATGTTAGGCACCCATTAAAGATCACTGTGAAGAATGTCACTGCGTGGAAAATGCTAATTACATAACATTAACTTAGAAATTAAAAGGAGAATATTTGTATAATTCAGCCTGTCTACATAAATTACTTTAAAATAAAATCTCAAAATCCCTGGGATATGTAATACATCACTAATTCCACAAGGTGGCAATATCATAGTTATTAAGCAGTATTGGACAAATTTTTCTGGGGTGCATTGCATTGTTCCTAACGTTATTTTTGCTTAATTATATTTTAATCTTAGTTATATTTTGATCTTTGATTTAAAATGACATTTGCATTCCTTTTAAGTCCAGGGAATATAAAATATTTTATGGGTGTGGTTTTTTTTTTTAAAGTATAAGTTAAGTAATTCCTCTGACTGGAGAATGTGAAGGTCTCTACCCATTCATTTTTGCTTCCTGAATCTTTTGCATTTTCAAAAATTGTAATCAAATAATATTAATTGTTATTTGTTGAAAAACTTTTATTATAGGTCTTTGTGCTGGGTCTTTATATACATTACCTTATTTATTCTGCAGAGTAGATGTTATTCTTTCCATTTTACAGATGAGAAAACAGAAGCTAAGGGAAGATTAGTAATTCACCCAAACTCAATTATTTTTTGCCAGAGCCTGAATTCAAGCCTAGTCTTTGTAAAGAAACTGTTAAATGGATAAATAAAAAATAAATAAATAAAATGACTATACAGAAATGAGAGAAAGAGAGAGAGAGAGAGAGAGAGAGAGAACAGTATTCATCTATCTACTGTCTATCTAATTCAGGTCATATTAAAAAGAAAAGATTATAGTAAATAAGATAGATGTTAAATAATTCCTATCTTCTTTTTTCTCTTAAATAACATATGAGAATTTCCCCCATGTTATTAAAAATTCCTTGGAAACAGAACAGAAAAGGTTATAGTAAATATAACCTATATGTTGTTGTATAATGATAGTGAGACTCATATTGAAATAGATTTATAATATTCTTTCATTTGAATGTACTATATTTTATTCAGTCTTTCTCCTATTTTTGAATATAGCAATTTTCTTCAAGATTAAGGGATTATTAATGATCATCCTTATATAGAAATCTTTGTCTATATCTCTGTCCATTATTAAGGATACATTATAGAATTTAAATGACTTATGAGACCCCAAAAATAAAGTATCAAATTTTCATTTTAAAATTTGTAAAACATTCTTCCAGAGAAAAACTATGCTGCATTTCTCTAACTGAAATAACTAATTTATGATTTTTGCATTTTT